TTCTCTCTGAGAGAACATCTTCACCAGAGTATTAGATATTCACTCTGTGACACATTTTCTGCATTTACCCCAGTTGTACCAAAAGCAAACTTTGTTTCCTACCTACCAGAGAGTTGCACTGACTTCAGCCCATTTCTTCCTTAAGTTACGATCTCAGTAAAAGTCTTGACATCTTATTTTTGTGCGATCTGTAGGGTGCTGGATGTGGATAGCTAAAGAAAGATGGCAGCAGGCAGACTACAAGGCGTGTTGGACTGGAGACATTTCTCAACTTTGATGGAGCTTCAGCTCTCTGAGATTTCACGTGTGAGTACACAGAAAATACATAATTCTTCACGCAGCAATAGATTAAGGTAGGTACTTACAGCAAATGTGTTGTTCCCAGTTATCTGTCGGTGAGCTCAAATACTTACTATGTTTGTGAGTTGAAATGAGAAAGGCAGAGAAGGAATGAACAGTGAAAATTCTTGCTTCAGCGTGGCATAAATCAGAATTAAAATTTCAAGCTGGTTCTCTTAAACAGGCTTTAACATTTTCATTAGCGCACTGGAGATGAACTCAGGAAAGCTATGGCAGCATGCATGAAACTTAAACTATGGGGACTTCAACGAGATAGGTTTGTCGAGGACATTGATCTTGGAGAAGCTTTCGGAACTGAAATGTTGACAGCTGTCTTCATGGATACTTGTGAATAAAATAAATCTTTTGCTTAATTCATCATCTGAGATCACTGAATTATTTCCGACTGCTTTGAGGTATAAGTGTCTGTTATGGACTTATGTGGAAAATCTCTTTGTCGATTACAGAAACTGACGCAGATTAGACTAGACTAATATTCCCAGAATTTATCCAGTGACTAGATCTCAAAGACATGCCCTTGTTTTTGAAAATGTTAGGCTGCTTGGTTTTATATATCTCAATTTAGAGCAAGGAATACAACCAGTCAGTTATACATGGTCTTTAGCTTGAGGAAGCTAGTAAAGAGAATGAAAGTCAAAAGTGAGACTATTAAAATCTTCATGGATTAGACTCAGCATGGAAGCTATTTAATCATATGAGAATGGAGTTGGTGTTGCCAGATCTCATAATTTGTGTTGTTCTTAAAACCCTGGGGTCATGTAAATGTATCAGTGTGTCAGCTTTAAGGGTTTTTTTTATATTTTTCTTTTCAAAGTGAGTTTCTGGCTCCCCTGGTTTTGTAGAAAAGCTTGAAAATGTGCACCGAGATCAATGCAAATCAAGATGGGGAAATAATGCAACTCTTTTCTAGCTCATCATTTTAATCCACTCCAGGACTTTCCCAGGCTTGATTTTTTTATGGGGGGGGGTTACCATTTGAAGTTGGTTGCAGTCACCAGTAACTTACATGCCCCTAAATCAAAAGGGAAGCAGGGCATCAAGGAAAAGGAACCCTCCAGCATAGCTAAATGGCAAGGTTCATGTGAGACGGAGCGCTCACAACTGCAAGGTAACACACACTGGAATGAATAATTTAACAGCCACTCTAATTTAGAGGAAAATGATCTAGGTGTCACTGTGGATGGCCCAATTAAAGCCTCTCCGCAATATGCAGCGGTGATGAAAAAAGTAAACAAAGCATTAGAATGTACAAGGAAAAACTACACAAAACATCACTGCTGCTGTTGGGTGGATCTGCTGTGCTCTGCCTGGCAGAGAGGGGGGAAGCCTGGCGAGCAAAGGATCCAGTTTTGCTTGTGCCAACCATGAGACCAGTGGCCAGGTGGTGGCAGCCTCCCTCCTGGCTGCCCTGCCTGGACGATGGACTGCAGGGTCACAGGGAGAGGCTGCCCTGCAATCGAGCCTGGCTGGGAGCAGGTGCTCCAGAGTGAAGCCAGATTCCCTTGAAGGAGGCTGTGGAGAGAATGGCACCTTGGGAGGGAAGAGGGACAAACTGTGTCCTTCACTGAGCAGGGGACAAAGGGTTTCACACTAGGAGGGCCCAGGGACCCATATGCTTGCTTCATGCAATAGCAACATGAACCAGACTCTACCTGCCAGGGGTGGGTGGAGTGTGGGGGAGAAGGTCAACTGAAATGCCAGGGTTTGTGTGAGGGGAGCGGGCGGGATGGATGGCAGGGTCCTGCCCTGGGGAGCCCATGCTGGACCTCACCCTGGAACACAAGGCAGTGTTCAGGGCTGGCCACTCCTCTGCCAAAAGAAACAGAAGGGCATCAGGGTTTGGGGGCTAAAACGGGAGACTCGGAGCAAAGTCTTCCACAGCGAGGCACTGGAGGCAGGACAAAACCGAGAGGTAAGTAAATTAGTGAATGGTGCTGATTAGAGAAGGTAAATTAAACTCTCCTATTCACTTTCCCCGAGAAGAAAAAAGTGATGAAACTGAAGGATTTGCTAAAAATTGAACTGTTTTACTGAACCATCTTAAAATTCAATATATAATTAACCTGTGCAACTCATTGGCATAAGGTGTGAAGACCTTGTAGGTTCCCTAGAGGACTGGGCATCCTTCTGGGCGATCAGAGCTATACTGAGGCAGGCTAGCTGCAGTCGCTCAGCAGTTTTGAATGTCACGCTGCATCCATCAAGGTGCCACGGTATAGACTTAAGAGTATAACTTCAGTTTTAAAAATTTTGGCCAATGAGAAGATCCAGTTACATTTAATAGGGTAAGAGAGATTTTTACAAAGGCTATGAACACCTTTTTGTTTCAAGGGTATAGACCAGCTACCAGCCTCGAGTTGGAAAGAAATTTCCTCTAATGAACTGCCCGTAATGTCCGTGCGTTACGGTTTCCTGGGCCTTCCTTTGAAGCATCTGGTACAAGCCACAGCCAGAGAGAGGCTCCTGGGATGGGTGGACTATTGATTTAGTCTGGTGTGGCAAGCCTATGTGAAATGCTAAATTTTGGATTCAAATGGATCTGAGAATGTCCCTTTTACTGTCCAGGATACCTAACACCACAAAGCTTCCAGCCTCCTCACTTTCACTCTGCAAGTGTAAAAGAAAATTTAGATCATTTTGACAGTTATTTTCACGTCTGTTGGCAGGTAGCCAAGTACACTTCAAATGGCACCGCGTGTAATGAGTCTGATCCATCCCTGGCAGAGCTCCATTAACACAAAAGGAGCCACAATTATATTTTCACCAATTTGATCAGCTAGGAGCCAGTTAATGTCTCCCTAGCCGCTCATGTAACTTTTAGATTATATCCTCCCTTCTGCCGGCTGCCCTTCCAAAATCCCTTCATCCCGAAATTCAAATGCTACTAATTTTTTTGTTAAAGTCCCTATTTTTGGCAGTAATTACCATATGACCAATAGGAGATATAGAACGGTGGAGATAAAAACATGTAGAAGCCACAGGAAGCCCACAGCAAAGCACTGTATCTGTTTGTTACAGGTGAAAGCTGGCGGTGATTTCTGAAAGAGAAAATTAGCTGCCTTTTACAGTTCTGCACAGATGTTGACCATGGGGGAAAGTTCAGTGTGCAAAGCTGTTATTTCTAGTCTCTGTTATTGTGGAGCTGGCCAAGAGTATCAGGAAACAAATAAATGATTGTGATGTAGAGCAAGGGGCAGAACTTGGCCATTTCCTTGTGTACGAAGGAACACGCATATCTCGGCTATGTAAAGTCACACCTCGCACCGGTGCTACTGCACCCTCCCCACTTCCACTTTAATTGCCTTGTGCACATAAGCACAGTGATTTCTGAAGCAGTTCGTTCGTTTAGCTCCGAGCCGAAGGGGGACGGTCATGTGGCTGTGGCCTTCCCCCTTCCCAAAGGAAGCTGGCACGCCTAGCAGGCTTGAGACAGGGAGGGCCCTCGGCTTTGCAGCACGAAATGCAGTTTCTGGGGGGAAGGTGGGGAAATGGGAACCGACAACAGAAACTGCGAGCGAGGGCCTGTATCAGACTAGTCGGACATGCTGGAGCAGAAGGCTCTCCAGGGCTGATTTTTCAAGTTCAAATGGGTTTGGCGTGAACCTTGCCAACATCAGCAGTCGCTCATTGTAGGTGTTCAACAAATGCCCTGGCTTCCCCCAGCCCCAAGACCTAAAGGCCCAAGACCTGAGGGCCGCCCCAGCATCCCCCCCTGCAGCGGATACCCATCAACACCCATTCAGCTGGCATTTTTCTAAGCGGAGGGAACGGGGTTGCTGGCGCTACCGCGGTGTGCCTGGCCTGGCAGTGCCCCGGCCCTGGCAACCCGCGCTGGGCCCCAGCTCCGCCAGGCGTGTGGACGCGGCATGAGGTCAAGGGCAGCAGGCTGCATTTCTTGCTTTACAGCCTGCGAGTTGCCGGGGCTGGGGCGCACCAGGTTGTGGCACAGGGCGGCAAGGAAGGGAGCTGGGTCTGAGCAGCAGCAGCCTCCAGCATGTGAGGCCCAGGGCGCTGGGATGCAGAGGCCGTGCTCCGTACGCCCCGGGCCCCTGTGCCCTGGTGAAGAGCGACCCCAGCGAGTCCCACCAGCCCCCTCCCCGTGTTCAGTGTTAAACCCACCTGCCCCCTGCGGGTGGGGTAAGTGGTGACCCCTTGTCCTGCCCTGGTGCCCCGCAGGTGGCCCCCGCAGTGCCCACGGCGTTATCGCTCCGCTGTGTCCCGGGCGGGCGGGAGGGCGGACACACGTGCGCG